CCATGGCCACCCGGTCACATGACCAGCTAGCCACACCCACCCAGTCACATGACCTCCAAGCCACACCCACAAAATAAGCCACGCCCACAATGGTGTCCCTCTTTACCAGTGTTAAAATCTGGTCACCTTACTTATGTGGCATCCAAAATGGGCCACGTGGAGACTCCTGGGAGGGGAGGGGCGGGGTGGGAGGGATCAGCCAGTCCTTGGAACAACTGGTTCAGCGAACCAGATTAAAATTAACATCCGGTTCACCCGGACCAGTCCTAACCAGCTGAATCCCACCCCTGTTTAGGTGCCACATGGTAAATAAACAAATAAATAAAAACTATTCCATTAGTCTGAAAATTGTTTTTTCCAAACCAATACATCCAGCTCCAGATCAAGCGTCTGGAATATGATAACAATAGGTTCCACTCAAGCCAACATGGTCAGTAGTGGGAGATGCTGGAACAGCCATTTGGAGGGCCAATGGTTCTTTGTCCTGATCTCAGAATTAGGAAAAGGAGCAGATAGAAGCAAATGCTAGTCTAGTTGATGTGAAAAGTGCCACTTGCACTCTCTGCCATGCATGAATGTCCAAGACTTCCCTTTCATTTAAAAACGTCCAAATTTTCATTGTAAGATTGCTTTTATCTCAGCCTAATTAAGAATTGGCACAGCAGAAGGAAGACATTTCTGTTACATAAAGTCAGCAGTCACTGAAAATAGGCAAAGGTATAAAAAAGCAAAGAGTTTAGTTTTGTAGGCGAGGTCCCAAGCTGCTTGTTAATGATTCTGGAGAGAGATTCAACAAGACTGAGCAAAGAGCTTTTATTGGCCCGTGGGAACTGCTGTCAACTTGTTTTAATCCCATTAGTCTAACTTCTTAGGTCGAGTCCTTAAATGTCTATGACAATGATAGGAGCTTATTAGATAGTATGAATGATTTATAGCAGGAAATTTGGCTTGGCTTTGTGCTCTGGTTTTTTCTCCAGCCACGAACAGAGTTGTAGAAGGTCCTCTTTGGGGTGTGTGTTTGTAAAGCAGAGGTGATATTCAACAGGTTCTGACCAGTTCTGGAGAACCAGTAGTGGAAATCTTGAGTAGTTCGGAAAATTGGTAAATACCACCTCTGACTGGCCCTGCCCCCATCTATTCTCTGTCTCCTGAGTCCCAGCTGATCGGGAGGAAATGGGGATTTTGCAGTAACCTTCCCCTGCAGTGGGGAGGGAATGGAGATTTTACAGTATCCTTCCCCTAGAGTGGGGTGGGAATGGAGATTTTACAGTATCCTTCTCCTGCCATGCCCACCAAGCCACGCCCACCAAGCCACGCCCACAGAACTGGTACTAAAAAAAATTGAATCCCACCACTGTTGTAAACACTTTCACAGATATACTGTACTAATGGAAAGCTATATAATAAATGTCTTTAGAGTTTCCTTGAAGGGACTTAAGCTGATTAATAAGCATGGTGTCTCATTGTGAATTTTATGGACAAAGCATACTTGGTAAGCATACAAGCTTGAGCTGATGATCTCTTGAGTTCATATTCAGAGTGCCGAGGACTGCACTGAATGTAATCTAAATGTGTTGGCAAAGCCAGCATAGAAATGGGGCATCACGTTCACACAAGACAGCAAAGCTGAGGCTTGAGAAAATGAAATCCCGAGCAGCATTTTAAAGGCTGTCTACTCACGTCATTATCGGAGAACTCAACACTCCATTAATCCAACCATATTTTCCATATATGGAAGTGAAGTTGCGCCCTGGTGTATCATCTGTAACAATCCCAGAAGGACCAGAAAAGTAATAAAAACTTGAGAAGTTTGAAAGTTTTCAAAGCAATTTAATTTAATCGCTGGAAAATTAGTCTTCTTCAATGGTTGGTGAAGTCAAAGTTTCACTGAATTGCAGTACACTTTCAAACTTTTTGCATCGCTCTGATCTATTTGTGTTGAGATTATATAGATCTAGGTAAGATACTTCCTAAAATTTAATGTAATGTTCAGTCCTTTAAAATCCATTAAATCCCACCAGTGTAAAGGCATATATCCTAAATCTCCTCCTAAACTATCGCAAGGAAGAGGGCGAGTTTCACTTTTGATTATTTCTCTGTTTAGGGATCACCATAATTAACTATTGATGATATTGAAACATATCTGTGGGTAGGATCTGCAAAATATCTCCCACTGAGAAAGTAAGAGTGATGGAGTTTTGTCAGATGCAAAGAACCAGAACAACACAGCGAGCTGATCAAAATGGCTTCTTTATTGTTGCTTACCTACTTCCAAGAATCTCACCAGACTGACTAAATTCTCTTGGGAACAGGCAGATAAAGGCTGCAGGAATTCAGGGTGGGGTGGGGCTGTCTGGTCTCTGTCATTTCCTTCCATGCAAAGACTCCAAGCTCATCAGTCTTTTCACTTCTGTTCCCACTCTAGCTGGAGATTTCACCACACTATTCTCTACTGAATTAGAATGAACACAACTTCACCAGTAGGTTTCAACTGGAAGTTTAACTATCCAAGTTACTTTGTTTGAATGACAAAAACATATTAATCTCACGACACATGGCTAAACTCACCAGGATTTCAATTGCAAAACTGTTAGCATCTTAGACAAAGTCAAATAAAAAAATATTAGAGAATTCATGATAGCTTGGCATCCAGATAAGTCAGCCATCAACAGACACATAGAGATAAACCACATGTACACGCTATTAAAAAAAGACAAAACAAAACTAAGAAAAACCCCAGAAAGACTACAAAGCATCCTCTTCAGCAGCTCACATTTAAATAAGGAAGGACCAGACAAATAATCAGGCAGAAAACAATACAGTAATTAAGAACTCAAGGAAGAAATTCCCCCCCCCCACTCCAAAACCCTGGCAGGGTAACCTACTGCATATCAATTGGCAGTAAACTCACACTGATGTTGATGTTGGGTAATGAAATCAGCCAACTTGGTCTATTTGTTAAGGTAACTGTGGAATTGGGATTGTAGAAACACCCAGGAACATAGAAGAGTTCAGAGGCAGATGCATAAATAAATGTCTTAAACGTATTTATTCATATGATAAATCATATTAATTATGTACAACAGAGATCAAGTCTCATGAGGAACAAACATGAAAAGAGAGAGATGGAGAGAGCATGGTGGAAAAGGTTGGAGGGGGTTTTATACTCAGGGTAAGCCCCTCCTTTCCACATAGGGGTGGAGACAGTCTCTGCCTCCACTGGTGTCTATATGACACATGTGCCAATGGCTTGCAAATACTTGACAGTAACAGACTAGAAACCAGGAAACTGTGAGTTCTAGTCCTGCCTTAGGCATAAAAACTGGCTGGGTGACTTTGGGCCAATCACCAGGAGATTGGCTAGAACACCAGGAGTTCTAGTCCCACCTTGGGCATGAGAGTCTGCTGGGTGACTTTGGGCCAGTCACTCTCTCTCTTAGCCCAACCCACCTCACAGAGCAGTTGTGGTGGAGAAAATATGAGAAATAAGGACTCTTTGTTTGCTCCCTTGAGTCATTTATTAAAAAAAAAAACCCAAAGTGGGATAAAAATGAAATAAAGACAAATAAATGTCTGCAAGCAAAACATCCGAGCTCTGGAAGCACCCAGAACTCCAATGCCCACCACTTTTCCTGAGTACAAGCTGCAAAATAAATAAGTTAAAGGAAGGAATATTTTGGTTAAAGATTAGGAAAAATATCCTCCTAGCAGGTGCAGCAATTTGGCAATGAAACCAGGCACCCTTGGTGGGGCCTGGCTTGATATTAATATAATATAATAACAGAGTTGGAAGGGACCTTGGAGGTCTTCTAGTCCAACCCCCTGCTGGTTATCCAGCATCTTCTTAAAAACTTCCAGTGTTGGAGCATTCACAACATCTGGAGGCAAGTTGTTCTACTGATTAATTGTTCTAACTGTCAGAAAATTTCTCCTTAGTTCTAGGTTGCTTCTCTCCTTGATTAGTTTCCACTCATTGCTTCTTATCCTACCCTCAGGTGCTTTGGAGAATAGCTTGACTCCCTCTTCTTTGTGGCAGCCCCTGAGATATTGGAGCACTGCTATCATGTCTCCCCTAGTCCTTCTTCTCTCTCTCTCTCTTTTTTATACCTTGATTTTATCTGTGCGTATGTCCACCATTCTATGTGAGTGCCTTGTTCTTTTAACTGTTCTATTGTATTTCACCGTTTTACCAAGTTCCAGAACGTTTGGGTATATTATCACCTCCATAGTTGAGAGCCAACTGGGGATTTTAGTATAGTGTTTTCGTCTTATTTCTTCCCAGGTTAACTTCAATATATCCCTCAATTTGTGTTTATTAAAGTGTGTTTTTGTTTTTTCCCCTGTTTCCCATAGAAAGGCATGCCAGCCTTTCTGAAGATCATGCCCTTCTAACGTTAAAATTCTTTTGTTCGCCAAGGTCGCCCAATCTTTTAGCCAAACTAGAATTGCTGCTTTATGATAAGTTTCCCAAATAGGTAGTCCTTCTTCTCATTAAACTAGATATACCCAGTTCCTGCAACTGTTCTTCATATGTTTTAACTTCCAGTCCCCTAATCATCTTTGTTGCTCTCCTCTGCACTCTTTCTTTCAAGAATAATCATTCTGGATATTTTAAGCCGAACTGAAGAAACTCTGCAGCCCTCCTAACTCTGTGTTTCTATGATGCTTTGGATTTTAGCCAGGAGGAAACATTCCCTAAGAATGCACGCCCAACCTTGGCAATTCTGGGATTTGAAGTCCTCCAGGTTTAAAGTTGCCAAGGTTGGAGTCCCCTGCCCTAGAAGACAAGCTGAAATGAGGTGGGTGGGTTTCTTTTCCTTTTTTGGTCCAGCAGCCCTGCTTTCTGCCACATGTGTATGAAAAAGGACTCCCTACCAGCTGCCTCTTAGACCCTCCTTCTCCCCCGAAATCAGACACCAAGACTTCTAATCACTCCTCCTGCCAGGAAAAAAAAAACAAAAAAACCCAACCAACTCTGTCTTTTCTCTTTAAGAACAGATTCTTCTCCTCTCCCTCCTCACCCCCCTTTTTTCTTTGAGCATTAATTTTCACCGTCCTTGGCCATACAATGTGACTGGATGCCTTCCTCCCCCCCACCACTCCTTAGTCATTTTTAAATAAAGGAAGGACCGTTTTGGGTTTCCTGCATCCAAAACATGTCATGTACCCAAAGAACTTGGATTGCAAACTTTTCCTTTTGGGTTCACCTCCTTAGTATCCAGGCGTTTTGCTATGCTAGAAATCCTCCACCCGGGAGATTTGTCTTCCCAGACCAGAAGCAAGGTCAGTAGCTTTTTGTTTTGATTTGTTTTGTTTTAAAATTACAATCGCTGGCTAAAGCGGAGGAAAATGGGGCATCTTTTCTTCCACATTCCTGCGCTCTGGATCTTAAGTTTTTCAAAACAAAAGGACTCCCTCAGCAAGTAAGTCGCTAAAATTTCTCCTCCTCCTCTGAATGCATCTAAGTTCTTTGGATTTCTTTGGATTCTGGATTTATTTTATATTATGTAACTTTTTTCTTCTCCTGTAAAAAAAAAAAAAAAACAATCACTGCCCACCACAGCTTGTTAAGTGGAGGCAGAAACATTGTAGAAGATTTAAACCGCAGAGACGTTCACAAATCATTTCCCCTCCTACAAAATTGGAGCTTGGTTGAAATTGTAATTATTATTACCCATCCTCTTTGCAGCCAATTAACGGGTGACCTTGTCTCTTCCAAGCTGAAATTACAAAATAATTAATAATAATAAATGAAATGCTCATTGATGATCATTTTCCTTAGAAAAATCAGCTTCGCTCCAGAAATCACTCTGAATGGGATTTTGAGCAACTGTTTTTCCGGTTGCTGTTTTCTAAAGTCAGACTGAGTTTGAGCAGTTGATTCATCGGTCTTTTTTTTTTAAAGTATCTGACTCAAGGAAAAAGTAATAATTAAGAAAAAGGGCTTTTTGTCTTCCAATTTCGGTTCCAAGAAACAGTTTTATTATGACGAAGTCTACAAATTGCACAAATCCAGCAAAAAGCGACGCGAGGGCTGTTTATTGTTCATAGCCATTTTGCATGAACGAGGAATTGTTTTGACATTTTGAGGCCCTCAGTTGCAAGTCCTGGGACTTGCACTTAAAAATAATATGGATGGGGCTGGCTGATATTTTCACAGCTGTTGATTGTACAATGTGAACAGAATGTATGACAGTCAGGTGCTCTGGGGATGTTGCACGTTGTAATGGATTTGATTCTGCTAAGAATCATTTGCAAGGACCACTCCATTTCTTGAGTTTCGTACAGGTAATCCTTGATTTACAACAGTTCGTTTAGTGACCATTCAAAGTTACAACAGCATTGAAAATAGCAATAGCACTTCCTTATATACTGCTTCACTGTGCTTTGCATCCCACTCTAAGCGGTGTACAGAGTCAGCATATTGCCCCCAACAATTTGGGTCCTCATTTTACCAACCTCAGAAGGATGGAAGGCTGAGTTAACGTTGAGCTGGTCAGAATCGAACTCCTGGCAGTGAGCAGAGTCAGCCTGCAATACTGCATTCTAACCACTGCACCACCATGGCACTAGCCTGTTTTCCTAGGGTAGCCTTAGAAGAAAAAGCAAGGTTTATATAGTTCAAACTACACATTATGAACTCTTGGAACAAGGGTTTAGCATTAATAGATTAACAGAGTTGGAAGGGACTTTGTAAGTCATGTAGTCCAACCCCCCACCCAAGCAGGAAACCCTACACCATTTCCGACAAATGGCAGTCCAGTCTTTTCTTGAAAGCTTCCAGTGATGAAGCTCCCACAACTTCTGAAGGCATCTTCAGTTGCCTCTGAATGCATTGGCTAGAATGCATAAATGCTTTAGATGTATTTCTAATTGAAGGAGCTAATCTATAACTAGCTTATTCTGACTTTTGCCAACCTGCTGCCTTTCAGATGGGATTGGGACTGTAATTGCCAGAATTCCCAAATAGGGTAGCATGCCACTGGGAATGTTGGCAGTTGCAGCCCCAACATGTTTGAAAAGCTGCATTAACTTCTGTGCTACACCAGTGGTGAAATTCAGCTGATTCTATCTGGATCGCATGATCTGGTAGCACCAGCTGCAGAAGGCTCCGCCTACCTGCCCGGACGTCATCACATACCATTTTTGACCCTCTGAGCATGTGCAGAAGGCTCTGCGCATGCGTGGAGGCACGCGTTCACATTTGCGAACCGGTAGCAATAGTAAGTGAATACCACTCCTGCGCTACACCTAGAAGACTGGAAATCACCATTATTACCAATATCTGGTCCTTGAACTTTTGGGGCCAGCAGTTACTACTAGAGGGTATCAGAAAGAGAATGATGCTCCAAGTAGTTCCTACAGTATGTTGTATGTGCAATACAAATACATACAGATTAGATCTGTTCATAATTTACTATTAATACACATAGCATTCTGTTTACTAGCCTCAGAAGTGTTCTAATCATATAGATCAGGGATCTGCAACCTTAAACACTCAAAGAGTCATTTGGACCCGTTTCCCACAGAAAAAAAAACACAGGGAGCCACAAAACCCTTCTCATGCCTGACTATTTCTTGAGCGGCCACAAAACTAGCATATGTAGTTGAATTAAACATTCTCTTTTCTTCTGAAACTTTTCTTTTCTTGGATTTATCCATGGTTGGCCTACCGGGGATTGAAAAGCTCAATAAATCGCGTGCTGGTGGGTGTCACGCATTGGCAGTTTTGACGCATATTTTGAGTGACAGGGAGCCGCAGCAGAGGGGTGAAAGAGCCACATGCGGCTCCAGAGCCGCAGGTTGCTGACCCCTGATATAGATAGAGGACTTGGTGTATCCCTCATGACTGATTTCAACATGTATTTGAAAGTGGGACTAGATGTAAGAAAACAGAAGGAGAGATTCCTTTCTCCATTTCTTTTAGTTCGGATGGTAAGTACTCATTTCATTTTCATTTCATTTTCATTTCATTTTCATTTTATTAAATTTGTATACCGCCCTACTTCCGAAGGACTCAGGGCGGTGAACAGGCACAAAATAAAACACATAAATACAGAAGTTAAAACATGATTAAAACCTAATTAAATAATTTTTGCCCGAGACAATTTAAAACTCCCAATAATTTAAAACAAATTAAAATTTCAGTTTAAAAATTTAAAAGAAGGGGAGAAAATTAGGCCAGGCCGGCCTGCTGGAATAGGAGTGTCTTCAAAGCACGGCGGAAAGTGTGCAGATCCGGGATCCTCCGTATCTCCGGGGGGAGCTCGTTCCAGATAGTAGGTGCCCCCATAGAGAAGGCCCTCCCCCTAGGGGCCGCCAGTCGACATTGTTTGGCTGACGGCACCTGGAGGAGCCCCTCTCTATGAGAGCGTACCGGCCGGTGGGAGGCTGTTTGTGGTAGTAGGCGGTCCCGTAAGCTGACTAAAGATGATTTAAGAATATCTCAGCTAAAGAAAGGTTTAGGGGGACTTAGCATCAGTATTCATCTTTGAGCTGAACTCAACCCTTGGTGATTTCACTGGCAACACTAAGTCACTGCCTTGTTTGGAATGTTTCTTTTTATTTCTCAGTCTAGTTCTGGACTTTCACAGTTGTCTCTCACTGAAATATTACTCAAATAGAACCCTGATTACATTAGTGAGATTATTCAAGGGCAACTAGGTGCTCCCATTTTTTAGAAACCTAGCATGAACTACTGGGAAATTATGCAAAGAATAATTTTAGATGGAATTCATCAAAACAAAATGACTTGATGAGGACAAGCTGAAGTTCACGGGGTCATCATGAAAGTATTTTCTTTATATATTTGAAATGAAACGTAGAAACAAAATATTCTCATGATGACCCCATAAGGTTCATCTTGTCCTATATGTTATTTACATTGTCCTTTAGGTAACGTAGAAAATAAAAAACAGTTTAAGAATTCATTATGTCAATTTAAAAAATCATTAAAGTAGAAAGTAAAACACAAAACTATTACAAAGCTTGGCTTGTCCTCCAGATATGTTGGCTAGAAATTCTGGAAGCTGTAGCTCTAATATTATCTGGGGGATCATAAGATGAGGTTAGCTGACCTTAAAGAATGAAATATTTCCTAGAGATGAATTCCAGACAATGAAGAAACTATGCTAAAATTAAAGTGTAAAAAGCTAATCTTTGTTACATTGATTATATCCATAATTTATATATTTATCTACCGCATTTTTTGGAGTATAAGACACATCTTTTTTCTCCCTAAAAGGGGGTGAAAATTTAGGTGCGTCTTATATAACGAATGTAGCCCCGCCCACCCACTGGCCCCCACCCTTTGGCTTCTGCCTTGCAGCAGTTACCTCCTTGCAAGCAAACAGCAAGAAAAAACAGCTCCTGTCAGCTTCAGCACAGCCTAATTAGCACAAGTTGATTGGATCGGTGTCCCAACTCTCAGCTGATATGCTCTCAACTGATTTGCACAGGGCTCTGCTGCCTGCTGCAAAGAGGTAAATTGCTGGAGCAGATTTTTTTTCCCCTTGTGCTAATCAAGCTATGCTGAAAACGAAAATGAAAGTAAAGCAGGCTGCTTGCTGTTTGCTGCAACGAGGCAAAATTGCTCAAAGGCAGAGGGAGATTTCTTTCTCTTCTTTTCCTCACCAAAAAAGGTAGGTGCATCTTATACTCCGGTGCATTTTATACACCAGAAAATATGGTATTTGTTAAATTTATTTGCTGCCCATCTCATATCTCGCCGTGAGGCTATTCTGGGCAGCTTACAACAATAATGCAGGGGGAGGGGGAGATAAAACATGTAAACATGTAAAATAGCAAAGGAATAAAACAAAAATAAAAGATGAAAATAGCAATAACAATAGCACTTAGATTTATATACCACTTCACAGTACTTTACAGCCCTCTCTAAGCGGTTTACAGAGTCAGCACATTTCCCCCAACAGTCTGGGTCCTCATTTTACCCACCTCGGAAGGATGGAAGGCTCAGTCAACCTTGAGCTGGTCAGAATCGAACTGGTGGCAGTCGGCAGAATTAGCCCGCAGTACTGCATTCTAACCACGTGAGCCATCACGGCTCTTGTACAGTAATATGAAATTAAAGAAGATGGGCGGAGCAGGAGCAGGAAACGCAGGAGGGAGGTGGGGTCAGCTAATTAGTCCAATAGCCACCTCCAGTGCGGAACTCTCCAGGGGTGAAGTTTTTTTTTTTTTTAATTTGATTTATATGCCGCCCTTCTCCGAAGACTCAGGGCGGCTTACAATGTGCTCAGCAATAGCCTTCATCCTTTTGTATATTTATACAAAGTCAGCTTATTGCCCCCACAAACTGGGTCCTCATTTCACCTACCTTAGAAAGGATGGAAGGCTGAGTCAACCTTGAGCCTTGGCGAGATTCGAACCCTGCAGTAATTGCAGGCAGCTGGTCTTAATAAGCTTAATAACAGGGTGCCTTAAACCCCTGTACTACCAAGGCTCAGCAGGTTCTGACAGGTTCTGGAGAACCAGTAGCGGAAATTTTGAGTAGTCCGGAGAACCAGCAAATACAACCTCTGGCTGGCCCAAGAGTGGGATGGGAATGGAGATTTTGCAATATCCTTCCCCCAGGAGTGGGGCGGGAATGGAGATTTTGCGGTATTCTTTCCCTGCCATACCCATCAAGCCACACCCACAGATTGGGTAGTAAAAAAATTTGAATCCCACCACTGGAACTCTCCCATTTGGTCCCTAGGCCAACTAGAAGAACCAGTCCTTCAGGCCCTTTGGAAGGATAGGAGGGTGGGGGCAAACTTCACTCTGGGGGGGGGCAGGATGTTCCAGAAGGCTGGTGTTTCAGCAGATAAGGTTCTTTTTCAGTCAGAGTTCCTTGATTCACGGACCAATAATAAATGAAAAGTTTCTGAAAACGTTGGGCATTTAAAAGTAACAACAATCTTGCCTCACAGCTAACTGATCTTGCTTAGGAGCTGCCACATGGCGCCCTGAGGAGAAAGATCTCATTTACCATCGACCTATTGGAAATCAGATCACAATTAATTTATTTCAATAGCCATATTTTAAGCAGGATATAAACCCAACGTCTCAAACGTGCTTCAATGGTTCAAACATTGACTTTGGCATGGGAATAATGGCATAAATGCTATACACTGTAAATATAATACACTCTAATATTAATAGTGATCACTTTTTTAAAAAGCTAAGTTTTGACTCTTTTTTTTTTAAATCCCTAGATCAATTTGTTAAAGCGCTGGAAGATTACCAAGTGGTTAGCCCAGAAAGAGTTGATGGAGATGGACATTTTCTCTCCTACCATTTACATCTCCATGCTTCAAACTTCAGAGGGAAAAGAGACTCCAGGAGAAGGGATAGTAAAGCATATTATAAAATTAGGCACAAAAACAAGGATCTCTTCTTTGACTTAACTCTTCATCGAGAATTACTGTCTAATAATTATGTTCTGGAAAAGCGCTATGGCAACTATCTTGGTGCTAAGATCACTCCAAGCGTAGCCACGTCATGTCACCTCCTTGGGACGGTCATGGATTCTGATTCCTGGAGTGGAACAGCAGCGATCAGTACTTGCAATGGGCTAGTAAGTGACTGAATTATTTGGAAATCTTTATCACCCTTTGTAATTGTAAAAGGAAGATAGTCTGAAACCAGCCCAACCTTAGAAACTATGCATAAAAAAAGAAACTGATTTTAAAATTGACCAAAATAGGATTATAGGAAGAATTACCTGATACCTACAACTGGATTTTGTAGAAAAAAATTATCTTGAGGCCAGCTTAAATTACTGTATTTTTCAGACTATAAGACGCACCTTAGTTTTTGGGGAGGAAAATAAGAAAAAAGCTGATTGGGGGTGGATCGGCCTCCTGGAATACCCCCAAATCAGCCGTTCCCAGAGGTGCACTTTAGCAACAGGTTCGTTGGTTGTGAGCTCTGCGCCTTGCTTTTTTTTCAGCCTCTGAAACCTCCGTTTCAGTGGCTTTTTTCCCAGCCTCTCAAACGGAGGTTTCAGAGGCTTTTTTCAGCCTCTGAAACCTCTGTTTCAGAGGCTGGGCGGGGCTACATTCGAACTATAAGATGCACCCAGATTTTCACCCTCTTTTTGGGGGTAAAAAGGTGCGTCTTATACTCTGAAAAAATACGGTATGTTAAGCCATAAGAATTGTGTAAGAATGTGAGCAATTGTGTGTACTTGATGGCTGTTGTCCTAGGATTGTTAGACTGTGGGGGCTGGTAGTCATCTTTAGAATTCAGAGAACATCACTGCTTTCATAAAAGCACTGAGGGAGATGAATGATTTAGAAATAGGAAGTAAAAACAAAATGAAATAATAAAATAAATAATTGTTATGGAAGGGCTTCTCCGGTACTATTAAAGAAGCCACGTGGATTGAGATTGTGAATATATCACATCCATTGGGGGTATTCAGCCGGTTCGGGCAGGCGAACCGGTAGTGGCAACCTGCAGCGCTATGCCGTCCCATTTAGCCACATTTTTTAAGCCACCCGCATGCGTGCAAGCCGCCGTGTGAGCAAAGCACATGCGTGGACAGCCGCATGCATGTCGGAAGGCACACACATGCCTCCCCAGATGCTTGGCAACTGACTCATATTTATGACGGTTACTGTGTCCCAGGGTCATGTGATTACCTTTTGCGATTTTCTGACAAGCAATTCCCATTGGGGGAAGGCAGGTTCACTTAACAAGCATATTGCTAATTTAACAACTGCAGTGATTCACTTAATAACTGTGGCAAGAAAGGTCGTAAAGCGGCGGGGAAACTTAATTATCTGACTTAGCAACATAAATTTTGGGCTCAGTTGTGGTCATAAATCGAGGGCTGCCTGTATTTGTATCAAATATAAGAATAGCTGTGTAAGATTGGAGTGGAATTTCACGGAACCTGTCTTTAGGTGACCAATGAGATAGTTTTTGAAAAACTTGAAAAATCAGTGATCAAAGGCCCAGCTGACCCATGCTTCCAGCTTGAGGCTCAAATGAGCTCTTCGATTTGATACAATATAGCTTCTATAAATCATAAGGAAGGCTGAGTGCCAAAGAATTGAGGCCTTTGAACTATGGTGCTGGAGAAGACACCTATGAGTACTTGAACCGTAAGGCGAACAAAAAGTCAGTCCTAGAGGAGATCAACCCTGACTGCTCTTTAGAAGGCCAGATCCTGAAGATGAAACTCAAATACTTTGGCCACCTAATGAGAAGGAAGGACTCACTGGAGACGAGCCTAATGCTGGGAAAGATTGAGGGCAAAAGAAGAAGGGGACGACAGAGAACGAGGTGGCTGGATGGAGTCACTGAAGCAGTAGGCATGAACTTAAATGGACTCCAGAGGATGGTAGAGGACAAGAAGGCCTGGAGGAACGTTGTCCATGGGGTCACGATGGGTTGGACATGCCTTCACGACTAACAACAAGCTTCTATAATGTTATCCAGTCCTTTCTTTATAGTGACTTAAGATCATCCTACCATGTCTTAGATTCCTTTTCTGTTCTTTCCTTTTCTTCTTTTGTTCCTTCTTTTCCTCGTGTATAAGAACTAGAGGTTCTGCTACATAGCTGCTGATCTCTATTTTTGCAGCTTCTGGAGATGTTAGCTCTTCATGGTAGACAAGTTTAGGAAACGGGGGTTATGAGAAGTCTTGAAATATATTAAGTTTTGGGGTTTCATAACAGAATATTGAAAGCCTGTCAAAGCTACTCTCAGCTTCAACAGATACCCAACACAATCAAGATAGAATTGTGCTAAGTTTCTTTCCCACACTTTTTACTTTCCCAGGACTCAACGCTCTTTTCTGTAACCGCCAGACTCCTCCTTCTGTGAGTCAAATCTACATTCTGTCACTGGGACCCATTCCAGCCTTAATTACTGAAAATCCATGATTTCTGTTCTTTTAGGAACAGAAGGAATAGGAATAGGAGACAGGAAACATGAAAAGTCACATAAGACCAATAGGCTTAACCTCAAATTCCCAAGAAAAAACAAGAGAAGAAGAATCATGCTTGGCTCAGTCATTAGACTTAGTCATATACCCTCCTTCATCATCTGATGGATGTCCTGATAGCCAAAATAAGGAGCCAGATTGTTGGGGACAATAGACTCATATTGTAAACTAACCTGAGACTGCTGTAAAATACTATGGGGTGGTATATAAGTCCAAGTGCTATTGCTATTGTTATTGCCATCATCTTAAATCATTGTGGTTCTCAAGGAAGCTTGTGATGTTTCTGGCTCTACTATAAATTGCTGTTCCCCTTTCTGTCATCTCCAGATACTTGGGGATGTAGCAATTGTAATAATCACTATAGGTATATAGGCATTTGGAGGAAACCTTAACAATACCATGTGTATCATAATGTCATTGTGAAATTGCACACTTCATGTCAATTGTGCAATCATGTCATAACACATGTGACATCCTTTTTTCTCCAGAATGCCCAGGATTATAAATTTGCAGTTCCAACCTATTAGGGGTTGTCAGATTTGGGAAAATGTACCCTTATTTTAACATTGAATGTCAAGGGTCCTTTGGTGGCCATGCATTTCTTTGACAGTAGAGATACCTCTAGACAATTTAGGTTTCTATCACCATAGTAACCTGGTTTATACACTCTGAAAACTTAAGAGACATGTCTTTTGGGGCAGGAAAAGAAAGACGGAATTTCTCTTGAATTTTCAAAACAAGGCATTCGGCTAGAATATCTGGAATGTGGAGAACGATTTGAGTTTTGGCCTAGTCCGTAATAAAAAAAACGGAGAGACATTGCACTTAGTGAGTTGGCAAGCAGCTGCAGCCTGCCAAATTCCAGCCCCAAGTATGTTCTTGATCCTTAGCTCTTCCTTCTTTCCACAGATTAAACAAAGCCAATGTAAACATTTGAGAACATTCCCCCCTCCCTTTTGGCTTCCACCCCATTAGAGAGAAATGAAAAAGCTTTGCTTCCTGGCAGGTCTGTAAAATCTCCTGGAGCTGTGTTCAAAAGCATACTTGAAAAGAGGGCCTGATATGGATGGAAACATCGTCTGTCTTGTTAGCTCCGTACAGGTAACTATCATAAAAAGTATCTGGAGAAAACTTTCAAATAAGAGTATCAAAGAGTTCCGTGTCAAACATTGCCAAGAAAAGGGGCCAGGAACAAAGTGCAATGGCAAAGACAGCCCCTCCCAGTCTGGGGAACTCCAGATGTGCTGGACTACCATTCCCATAATTTTCAAAATAGTTGGAGAAAGCTGGCATAAGTTTTATTCTGCACACACCGCAGACTGAATAACCAAACACTTATTCCTGTCTTCTGTTAGTAACAAGCCTCAAGGTTTTCAAAGGGATTCTGAATAAAACTGAAGTTTTTAAAATTTGCAAGCCAAATTTTTAAGGGTTCAATTATTGTTATTGTTGTTGTTGTGATTGCGGTTGTTGTGGTTGTATAGTGTTGTGGCAATAACCAGGAGACCACAATGCTATTGAAGAGTAGTAGCTTGCTAAGGTACTGTTGTGACCTAGGCCCAAGTAGTTATTACCAGACGGTCATAAATAAACGTATTTTATTAGAACAGCTGAGAATTACTTCATTCTCATCTTAGTCCAAATTAATTCCAAAACAAGTCCTTCAGAAAACGTCCTTCAGCCTTATCACAAAACATTTTGTCTTCTTTGGCACCCTGCCAGAAGCTTTTCTTGGCAAAGCTCCATGAAGTTCAGAAACAAGAGCCGTTGCTGCTCTTTTAAGCCTTATGGGAGGGGCCAATAATCTCCTGGCCTTACTCCCGAGTCATCCTTTTTGCTTTAGCTGCTCTTGCCTTCTGGCAATTCTTCGCATACGTGCACTAGGAACAGGCTCCTCCTGTTCCTCTGCCTCTCTGCTGTCCGCCTCTGGAGGCTCCAGAGTCCGCACATCGCTGGCAGATAGCCCTGGCCCAATCTCTGCCTCTGATGCAGACCCTTGTCCGGGCCTTCCCCTGACTCCAGGACTGGCCCATTGTCTCCCCAGCCTCCTCACTGTCTGACTCTGCTGCCAGCTCCGCAGGCTGCTGGTGAATCACAACAGGTACCAGCCCTGTTATAGTAGTAGCTTGCCAAGGTACCAGCCCTGTTAAAGGAAATGCTTGTACGCTTTCCAAGGAGGCCAGAGGAAGGTAAGCTAGTTTCACACCAGAGAGAAAGAAAGATGAGTGGCTCTTCCTGCAGGGTCAGCCAAGGTCCCCTCCCTTCCCGAATCTGCCTTGCAAGCAAATGCCAGAACAGGAAAGTTCAGGACCATCAGATATCTGACTGTCTGCACAGAGCACCAGCTCGTCTCCCCACCAAAGTGGTACCTATCTATCTACTTGCATAATTGTTAAGTGGAAAGAAGCTGACGCGAGTGACAGGAGCTCACCCTGCCACACAGTGCTTGGGCTCAAACCGCTGGAGCTGAAAACATCTCCAGCGTCAATAAGCCACTGAGCTACCGCGCCTCTAAAGGGCACAATGTACACATGGCTTCCTTGCATGCTTCTTTGTATCTTTAATTTCTCTTTCTGTCCATAAGAAATCTACTGCTTCTTAGCCTTGCTATTTCTGCTGCA